CGGAAGAATCCCAAACATACGACTTTGACTGCGTTCTTCAAATTGTGCCAGCAAGATTCATTTGCCCAGACGCTTTTGTATATTGAGGTCCCCTGATGCTACATGTCGAAACAAAACAAGTGGGCCCGACGAAAGATAGGAATTAAAGTTGAAGGACATCCGGGAACCAAATATGATGTTAAAATGGGTAGTATCTACACTGTTCACCCATCTAAACAAGAATGTTTCTACTTAGGAATGCTACTTCACGAAATTAGATGTCCAACATCGTTTGAAGATCTTAGAACGATTGATGGTCTTTTGTGTTCAACATACAGAGAAGCCTGGATGATGCATTGTATACTTCAAAATAATAATCAGTGGGAGAATACCATGGCTGAAGCTGTTGTTACTAACACCCCATATATTACGACGACTACTTGCTTTGTTGTTTAGGAATTGTGAGTTGAACTGCCCGTATGATCTAGGGTTGAAGTTCAGAAATGATAAGTTGGAAGACTACGGACATCAACTACAGTTGCAAAATGTCGATGTTCACATCGAATATAATGCGGCCATCTACAACATGGCACTCATTTATATTGAAAACACTTTGGTAGAAATGGGTGGAAGGCAAATTGAAAGATATGGATATTCTACTCTTGACAGGAGCATAGGAAATCAGCTTCCAACTGAAATTCAGCGGGAGCTTTGCTACAATGTTAACGAGCTGGCAGCATACGTGGCTATTCACAACCCAAGGCTATTGGTCGATCAACTGCTATTGCAGCGACGTTACTTCCTGGTGGCAAAACTCCTCACAGTACCTTCAAGCTTCATCTGAGGTTATCAGATGATGGTACCACAGCATGCAAAATAAGCAGAGGGAACAGATCATCTGAAGTGTTGAAACGGTGCTCAGCAATAATTTTGGATGAGTTTACCATGGCCAATAGAATTGCACTGGAAGCGCTAGATAGAACGCTGCGTGATGTCACAAAAAAGAACATTCCGTTTGGTGGCATCAAAATGGCTTAATCTGGTGATTTCGGTCAGACACTACCTGTGATTCAAAGGGGTACCAGCGGTGAGCAGGTAAAATACTGCCTGAAATATTCACCGTTGTACCTTCTTCCGTAGGTATTCGTTTTTATCCCGCTCCCCTCCCTTTAACAGCAACATAACCATCTGCCTCCTTCTTTAACACTAGACGCATTACCTTGCCGTTAATACCTTTGGCATTATCGTTGATCTCAATTACTTGACATTTTATATTAGTTAACACCATATTGTTTATCCTATACTTGATCGTTCCCCCTCTTTGGCGGTTGCGCCCCTTTTTGCTTTCCCTAAACCCCTTTTGGTGAGATTATGTCGTGGAGCCGGATATTTTCCTATCTATAATAACCAACTACTTACAAATTTTCAGCAAGTTGAATTACCAATAATCTTCCCGTTTTCTACACGCCACCTATCGATCCAGCTGGGATTTGCTGATGGCATTGATGTGCAGAGCGGTTCTTCGAAGGCAACCGCATTCCATAATTGCTATAATCGGCAAACTAAGAAAAGTTGGCCTTTTGAACTAACCACGGGAATTATCGCTTGCTTACAATTTTTAAGTAGGGTGATTACATAATCTCGCCACTTTTGTTCTTCTTTCAAACTGTTTCCTAGTTGGTGTTGGTGATACCACTAGAAAATGTCTCTCAGTTACCTCGCCCGAGGATTGGACACACTCCCCCTCCATATACGCGTTCGCCGTTGGTCGGGCGATGATATTAAAGCTCATTTCAGCGTCTTTTCGCGAGAGTTGAGTACGCGACCCAACTTGCTCTCGTAACTTTTTTATTTAACGAAAATATTGGGATCTAATTTGTTCCCTGGCATGCCCCGGCCGTCCTCTCCCCGAAAATCAGGTGTACGTTAGCCCGCGGGGCGCGCTTCACACTTTCCCCAGACGACCCCACGACATAATCCTACCCCCTTTTATTTGTTAAATGTCCTATATTGGTCACGCAAAGAGTGACATTATCTCGCTGCTCCCGGACTTGGAAACTTTTCTGTGTAAGAGTACTATTAATGTTTTTCCGAATCCGAATATTCTACAGTTACACAAAATACCGAACAAATGGGCGAGTATCAACGATCGTCGTCTGTGCCTCAGTTGGACAGATACTTCTTGCATTCAGAAGAAAACGAGCTGTCCTTGATGATCACAGGAAAAGAATCGCCACTGTTGAAGAAGAATTAAGGCAGTCGACAGTATGGCGTTAAATTGCATAAAATGTCAAGTAATTGAGATCAACGATAATGCCAAAGGTATTAACGGCAAGGTAATGCGTCTAGTGTTAAAGAAGGAGGCAGATGGTTATGTTGCTGTTAAAGGGAGGGGAGCGGGATAAAAACGAATACCTACGGAAGGAGGTACAACGGTGAATATTTCAGGCAGTATTTTACCTGCTCACCGCTGGTACCCCTTTGAATCACAGGTAGTGTCTGACCGAAATCACCAGATTAAACCATTTTGATGCCACCAAACGGAATGTTCTTTTTTGTGACATCACGCAGCGTCCTATCTAGCGCTTCCAGTGCAATTCTATTGGCCATGGTATGTTTGCAGTAATGACTGTATCCTATAAATACTGCAAACTTCGCTGCATTCCTTACCTGTTTCTGCTACTCATGTCTCTGATGATGAATCCGCGACGGATGTCGAACGTCAGGCGAATAAATGTATTGTTCGAGCGATCGAGTTGTCTTCTTCTCAATTACTTCCTGGGACTCGCCCAGCAAAGCCTTCTTCTTATTCTTCTCAATTTCATCATTGTTGTTACGGTGGTTGAGGGGATGCATTGCAGCATTGGATCCTTTGTTGGCATATTTTCAGACGTACTTGATGGACTTCGTAGAATTGCAAAATTCAACATTGATGTGGGCGTTTAATACTTTTAACAGTAGTGGACAATACGGCACAATCCAACGGTTATCAATTACCACGCCACCGTTTCGCCTTTCATTAACAACAAGAAAATAAAACCATTGTTCCCGTTATCGCACCTTCTTCTTCTGAACTGCTTCCCGGAACTCGCATATTCTCCTGTATTAGCTTCGAAACACCAATCTCAGGTCGTCTCCTTCTGTCCATCAACAAGTTCCAAAATCAAACCTTCAAGGTGACTGGAATTCACCCGGAAGAATCGTTTTTTTTACACGGACAACTCTACATTGCGATATCTCGATTTGGTTCGAAAAGCAATTTGTACGTATTGGCATTTAACGGGTTACGAGAATGTTGTTTATCCAGAAGCGTTAGTGTGACGACTCTACACGCCATTACCTTAAGGTACCTATTAATACCTATGTGTGACAATACCTCATGTATTTCTGTAGTCGCTTAAAATTGTGCCCCATTGGTACCTTACGTACACATTTCCTCGCAAAAGTACTTTTCATTATTATATTCATGTGTGTAACTTTTCCTTCTGGTGGTTAAAAACTCCACTCTATATGGTACCTCACTTACAGTTTTCCCATAATCACGTATTGTTCATTATTATATCATTTTTAAATAAATTTATTTAGTCTCTCAAAATTCTGCTCTACTGGTGCCTAAACTTACCCTTTTCCCCACAAACATACTTCTTTACTCTTATTTTAATATCTGTTAAGTTTTCTTTTAGTGATTAAAACGCCACTTTATATGGCACCACACTTACAGTTTTCCACATAAGCTATGGTTCTTTACTATTACTTACTTATCCTTCGTTCTACTGAACAACGCTCTTTCCCGTTCAATGGATCATCACTACTTCATCAAGCATGACTTAATCATTATATATATCATAATTTTCATTAATAACCGATATGTACTCTTAGTTCTTTGCGCAGCCTTCGGACTTATACATTTAAAGAATATTTTAGTTATTTTACGATTATTCATCGCTACTTTCTTACCATTACTCCTTCTAAGCATACACATACTGTACATCAAGTCAAAACGACCTCACCTTATACTTCATAATTTTAAGAAGTTCTCATATACAGCAAGGAAGCCTCAAGGCGAAGCCGGGCTTTTGCGCTAGTTTTTTAATAAAAGCGTCGGATTAGCATCACTTATATCTGTAGTTATCTGACTTCAAGAGACATGGCTTAATAGTGATATCGAGTCGCAAATTAGTACACCGCTGGTTGTTTTCTTACGGATCGAAAAGCCTTGCCCCGCAACAGAGCAGGTGGAGTGGATGTTTCTGTAAACCAGCAATGGTGCGGCAAGTTTAAGGGAATGAAATTAAAATATAAAAGTCTAGAGCGGTCAACGACCGGATGGCTTACGTTCGAGTAAAGGGCCATTTTACGAACATCTCTGTCGTCTCTGTGTGTGCACTAACATCAGCGGCTGAACAGCAAGATGAAGAAATTTTCTACTCGCAGCGAAAAAGAACATGGTCAGATCCGTGTGCGTTACCAGTTTTCGCATCTCGCATCGACCTGCTATCGTGAACCCAACTGCGAAGCCGTGGACCAAATATAATGTAATCGATCTGATCGATCGTTTAAATACCAGGTCAGTAGATTTTCGTGATGATGCTGAAAGCATGTGTTGGTAACAAACAGTCGGTTCTGTTTAGCAAACTGCAGCATCCTCTCACCATTGTCAGATCGAGAGTCAAGCTCAAAAAGACCAATAAGGGGGCCGTTTGACGGACCACCGGTTCCAGTCCGGCCATTCCAGTTCCCGGCGACAATTAACAGATCATAGCGAGGAGGTCTTTCAACTAGCTCCTCCAGCTGAGAGTAGACATTTTCTTTATCTTGCTGTTCGGCCGATGATGTTAGGGCATACACAGAGACGATATACATGTTCGTAAAATGGCCCTTAAGTTGAACATAAGCCATTCGGTCGTTGACGGGTTCCCATGCCAGTAGTGCACAGTTTGCTTGTTCCGGGAGGGCAATAGCCACACCCTGTCTACCAGATGAGTCACGTGGGCCACTGTGATACAGAGTTGGGTGAGAATCGACTCCCCGGATTTTATTTTTCGGGCGCCTGAATCGGGGAGTCGGACAGCCAGCAAACATCTACGTGATATTTGGCTCAAGAACCTAACCACAAGGCAGTGGTAGCAAGCAAACCTATTTAATGGCGGTTCACGCTCGCCATGTCATAGTGCCGTCATTGGAATTTGCGGCATTTTAAAAGGTAGCCGGTACGCCAGACCTCAGCTGTAGTTTGTGAGTCAATACTACTATTCAACCATGTATCCTCCTCTCCATTTACGTGGGAGTTTTGATTTGTATACTACTACACACCACGCGTGGAGAGGTACTGTACGTGACATCATTAAGGCCGGCAAGATTAGTCATGATCACATCCGTAACAAGTACAAGTAGACGTTAATCAATGATATATTCACGGCTGCATCTGAACAGACCAACGGTTTAGCTCTACCGCATACCGTAAATCAGGCACACCCGTCTATAAAATTTACACTTGAGAAAGAACAGTCCGTCTCGCTCCCATTTCTCGGTGTTTTTATGGGCAAAAGGTCTGACGGGAGTATTCAGCGTAGGATCTATCGTAAGAAGACGTGGTCCGGGCAATACACGCATCTTGCTAGTTTCGTGCCTTTAAATTTCAAAGGAAAGTTAGTGCGATGTTTGACACAAACTGCAAGAAGGATTTGCTCGACCGATAGCATCGAAGAAGATCTTACGATGGTATAGAA